ACCCTCTTAGACTCCTCAGCTTTTTATGGCACATAGTGAAAGAGTACTCTTCTGGAGATGCATTCCCAGCTGAAATCTCTTCACTCTGCAACAGGGATTTGCTATTTAACAGATAACTGTCATGGCATCCTGCAAAATATGGGTATTATCCCTCATGTAAAAGTAGAGCCTTGTTAATTGAAATACTCTTAGGAAAACCCAGCAGTCTGGGTCCTAAGCACATAAAAATGTTCCATGTGCCCTCAAATCTCATGTTCAGGTTCCTGACAAGCAGGAGAGGAGTTAGATTCATCACTCAACATACTGTTTCTTACAGGATGTCTGTTTAGCAGGTGAGAACTTTTTATCAACCCTCAAAATCACCTGCCTCCTTGCCTCACTTCAAAATCATTAACCATGTTGAGACCAAAGATGCCTAATGCTGGAGTCTTCACTCTACTACAGTACCTAAATCCAGAGTCCAGAGCTTTGCTGCTGGGATATCTCTTTTTTGATTACAGCTACACATAACCTTCAAAAAGTAGGCTTTTTGAATCAGGTTGTAAATCATTTCACACATGTCTGACATCTCAGGTTACCCATAAACATCACAATTATTTTGAAACAAGCTTTATTTATGAAAAAGATACTGATTAATATGAGACATATGTCTTACAGGTGAGCCAGGTAAACCAGTCAGCTTCTTCCATTTGCTCTTCTTTCTACATGTATCTGGATGCCACATTAGACTACAGCAGGTACCACTAAACTGTGCAGAAGGCTCCTAGACTGTTTCCCAAGTGTATCCTACACACATAAATCTACATGAGCAAGGTGAAAAGAAAATACCATTTTTGAACAGTATTTAACCTGCATTTTTTTGCTAATTTTCAATTTATGTGCTTTACATGTTGGGAAAAAATCATTTTGCTAGATAGCTAGGTCCAGATGGAATTGAAAAACAAGTCAAGTCATTATCGTGGGGGACCCTCAAGGGCCTGAAGTACATGCCTCCACAGCTGTTGGTTGATTTTGTTAACATACAGATATTCTCTTTCAGATATTCATCCATCACGTATCAAAGATTTGAAGACCTTCACATAAAGATATTCCATTTATAGTGTTCTCAGCACCTAATATTTCAATTACATGAAATGATATAAAGCTGAAATCAAGTGAGATCTTGCACTATAAGGGCAATTAAATAACCTTGGAGCACAGGAACTTGGAATATACAACTAGAAGCAACACCCTTCTATTGCTGGGAACACGCTCTATGTAACCCCTTTCATAAATTGATCAAGCTCCACTTTAAGCCCAGGTACATTTTTCTTCTCTGAACTTCACACCTGTGACTACTATAAGAATTACTATTTCAATTCTAGATGCATTAATTGCCAATTCAATTTTTTAAAGTCAAAACAGTCTTTCAGTTTAAGTAACTTTATTGTGTTAACCAAGTCAACTCTTGCAGTCTCTGTGATGTTAGATACACCATTCCTTTAGTCAACCTCACAACCCTCTGTGCATCTGCTGACACCTGAGTTTATTACAGCCACGGTACAAATTGCGCAGTACTCCAGAGCGATTGTACTAGTGCCTTATCCAGTGTCATTAATACTTTTAAATAAACACATCCTAAAATCAAATCTGCCTTTATCATGAGTACCACATATCCCAGTCTTCTGCATATGTCTCCTAGCGCTGCACCATCAGCAAATTTCATCAGAGCTTTCTACCTTTTATACTGCCATCAGAACAACAAAAACTGAAGCCTCATGAGTCATCTGAAAGGTCTTTAAGAAGCCCATTAGGCTCACTGCCTTTTGGTCCAGTAATTTACATTTTAAGCATGCCTCTTGTCCACTAATCTTTTCTAATTCTTTTTTAGGTATAGTTAGGTATAGACAGAAGCCTTAAGAAAGTCTAGATCAATGAATCTACTACATTTCCTTGGTCTAGAAAATTTGTTATATATTAAAATATATATTTTGCCCCATTTGGCACTTATTTCTAGATCTTTATACTTCTCTTCAAAATTTCAAATCAGTTAGTAGTTCAATGTTGTTACATATTTTATATACACACACACACAGAGTGAGGGATTATTGTCTTCAATTCTCTACTCCTTTAGTACTATTTTAGTAGAGAAAAGACATATCAATTGCAACATGAAAGAGAGACAAAAATGTTTACCAGATTAGGCTCTCCTTTATAATCTCTTCCTTTGGTTCTTGACAAGTAAGTGGAAGACCTAAATATCTGAGAAGCTGTGACAAGATGATTCACTTTAAATTCTGTAATCTATGCAAACACTGCCAACAGATGAGAATAATTAAAATCAGATCTGACAACCTGAGTAGGAGTATTTCTTTTGCAATTTTCTACTCAAACTTCACCACGATGAGAAATAATATTTAAAAGGTCTAGCCAAACAGCACTGCTAGTAACACGGCACTGCTGGCTGACAGAATTTATGTTCAGCCCCAACTGATCAATAATCATTTTTCCTTTCTATCACAAGTTGCCTTCATTCTCTTGGTGGCTGATAAAATAGGCTGAATGTTGCCTTCATAGTGATATTTCCCTCAAATATAATTGCTTAAAAATAATAATTTATACACATTTTAGAATTAAGCATTTTAATGATGCATACTGTTCTTGCAAATATATTTATGGGATAGCACATATTAATGTTATGTTTTCACTTAATTTC